AAACAGAATTTAACTACCCTTGTGGATGTTTAAAACAAAGTAAGATTACAAATTCCATACCAGAAATTTTAAAAATCTGAAATAGACAATTTCTATAAAATTAAATTACTACAATTGACTCAAGAAGATACAGAAAACTGAATACAACAATAACCACATCTTAGACATTAAAAAGGTAGTCAAAGATCTAATCCTAACAACAGCATCAAGCCTAGATGATTTCACAGATATACTGCAATAAACCAAGGACTGACTGGTCTGAGATTATTTAAAATACAGGAACATACAGAAGATGAAAGGTATCCCAGCTCATTTTCTAAAACGGAACATAACCTTGAGAACAAAAATATGTGAAAAAAAATATATAAATGTACACATCTCAATTAAAATATTAACATATCAAACCTGTCCGTCTTAGAAATGAACCACTGGTTCAGCACTAGAGAATCAATAGAACTCACCACATTAACATATTAAAGAAAAAAACCCTATGATCCACTCAAAAAAAAAAAAAACACCACCAACCAAATCCATTGACGTTGAGTTGATTCTGACTCATAGCGACTCTATAGGACAGAGCAGAACTGCCCCACAGGGTTTCCAAGGAGCGGCTGGCTTGTGGATTTGAACTGCTGACTTTTTGGTTAGCAGCTGAGCTCTTAACCACTGCACCACCATGGCTCCTTGTAAAGCACTCAATAGACGTTAAGAAAATAATCTGATAAATTCATGATTAAAAAAAAACTCTTAGCAAAACAGCAACAGATGGAAATACCCTTAACTTGATTTCATTATCTACCACAGCACACTTAAGAGTGAAATATGACAGTCTCCCCTCCATCAGCTGTTACTATTCAGCAATATTCTAATGCCCCTGGCCAATGCATTATGCTGAGAAAAAAACAATATAACCAAAAGAAACTGTAAAACTAATTGAAAGAAGAAATAATGTTGTTATTATTTGCAGATGATATTTTTACCTAGACAATCCAGAGTAAAATAGGGCTAATTAGAGAGGTGTCAGGAGGGTAGCCTGATACAAGGCCATAAAAACTAGTATTTTTTCCCTCATACTTATATAAAAGAACTGGCATATATTTTCCTATATTGGTTTGGAATAACAAACATAAAATACCCAGAAATAATTTAACAGGAAATAAGATTTATATGAAGAAAACATAAAGCTTTAATGAACAACATAAAGGACTGGGATAAATGGAGAAACTCAGCCAAAGTTCTAGAATGGGGTAACTGACTATTAGAAAACTGTTTACCAAATTATAGCAATGTACGCCCAATTAAATTTCCATCAGGATATTTTATGGAACTTAACAAGCTCATTCTAAAATTTAAAAGTAAATGTGCATGAAATTTTAGAATAGGGAATTTTTTTCTGACCAAGTATTAAAATGTATTATAAAACTACAGAACTAATAGCACATATGGCTTAAAGTACTGGGGGTCTGACGCAGTTTCCACTGCAACTTCCTTCAACTCCCTAGCTTTCTTCCAATGGTTTGGGGGGTAGTTTCTGGCCAATGAGATTTAAGCAAGTGAGGTTTACAAGAAAGCTAATTTTTTTTAAAGAAAACAATTCTGCTGGCATGCCCCTTTCAGCCTTTTACCTCGTCTTCCTTCTTCTTGTCTGAAATGCAAACATGAGGTCTGAAAAAGTGGCAGCCACCTTTGTGGCCATGAGGCAACAAGCTTGTGGATGAATGCCAAGACCCTAAAGATGACAGATTTCTACTTCACATTCCATGCTAAGAATTCCAGAAGGATTAAATATCTAAATTTTTAACAAGTTTGTGTACATACAGTAAAAAAAATTAGAGATTATCATAATCTTGGTGTAGAGAAAACCTACTGCCGTCGAGTCAATTTCAACTCATAGTGACCCTATAGGACAGAGTAGAACTGCCCCATAGGGTTTCCAAGGCTGTATATCTTTATGGAAGTAGACTGCCACATCTTTCTCCCGCAGAGCGGCTGGTGGGTTCGAACCACTGACCTTTTGGTTAGTAGCCGAGTGCTTTAACCACTGCACCACCAGAGGTCCCTTGGTATAGAAGAAGCCTTTTAAAATATAAGCAAAATTTCTATTTGCCATGAGAAGTTCTAAAACAAAATGAACAGACGACAGACACTGAGGTAGAAAATATTTACACAGTATATATAACAAAAGGTTAATAATCCTTTCCTAACATACGAAAGAATGAGCTCTGGTAGTGCAGCGGTTAAAACACTCAGCTGCCAACCAAAGGGTTGGCAGTTCGAGCCCACCAGCCGCTCTGTGGGAGAAAGATGTGGCAGTCTGCTTCCATAAAGATATACAGCCTTGGAAACCCTCTGGGGCAGTTCTACTCTGTCCTACAGGGCTGCTAAGAGTCAGAATTGACTCGATGGTAGTGGGTTTGGTAATATGCAGAAGACTCTTAATTAAAAAATACAAACGGCAGATAGGGCAATTGGAAACTGGCAAAGAACACAAGCCATTCACCCAAGAAGAAACGTAAAGTCAAGATTTAGTTCACTCAGCCTAAGTCAGTCACAAAAGGACAAATATCATATGAGACCACTATTATAAGAACTTGAGAAAAGGTTTACACAAAGAAAAAAGCATTCTTTGATGGTTACAAGAGTTGGGGAGGGGAGAATCACTAACTAGATAGTAGATAAGTATCAACTTTCAGTGAAGGGAAGGACAACACACAATGTAAGGGAAGTCAGCACAACGGACCAAAGCAAAAGCATAGAAGTTTCCCAGTCAGATCCAATACTGTGAGGGACTGAGTAGCTGGGGCTGGGGCCTGGGGACCATAGTTTCAGGGGACATCCAGGTTACTAGCATAACATGGTTCATAAAGAAAATGTTCTACATCCCACTTTTGTGAGAAGTGCTTGGGGTCTTAAAAGCTTGCAAGCAGTCATCTAAGATACTTCTGTTGGTCCCATCCCATCCGGAGCAAAAGAGAATGAAGAAAACCAAAGACACAAGGAAAATATTAACCCAAAGGACTAAAGGACCACATGAACTAGAGACTCTACCAGCCTGAGACCAGAAGAAACAGATAGTGGCCAGCCATCAGCAATGACTGCTGTGAAAGGGATCACAAGAGACAGTCCCAGTCAGAGTGAAAAAAATACAGAATTCAAATGCACGTAAAAAGAACAGACTTACTGGTCTGATAGAGACTGGAGGAACCTCTGAAAGTATGGAAGTATGGCCCCTGGACGTTATGCTAACCCAGAAATGAAACCATTTCCGAAGCCCAGTTTTCTGACAAAGATTAGATAGGCCTATAAAATAAAAAATAATACATATGAGGAACATGTTTCTTAGTTCAATCAAATATACGAGACCAAACGGCAACTCCTGTACAAAAGCAAGATGATAAAGCAGAAAGGGACAGGAACTGGATGAATGGAAACAGGGAACCTGGGGTGGAAAGAGGGAGTGTGCTGTCACATTGTGGGGATTGCAACCAATGTCACAAAACAGTATATGCATAAATTTTTGAAAGAGAAATTAACTCGAGCTGTAAACTTTCACCTAAAGCACACACACACACACACACACACAAAGAGTAACAGGAAAAAAAAAAAAGATCATGTGAAAAAGTAATAAGGAGAATGCAAATTTAAGAAAGGTTATCATTCTTCACTCGCCAGATTGGATATTATCAATCAATATATTTTGTACAAAGATGAAGAAGCTACAGGGAAGCAGGCATTCTCAAGCACTCAAATAAATAAAAAAACTAAGCTGTCCATCAATATGAGAAAAGTTAAATAAACTATACTAAGGAATACAATGCAGCCATTAAAAAGAACACTGTCCTAATCCTTAACACCTAGTCAAAATTTTTGCTTGTTTAGAGTTTTCAGCTATTTTTCAGACAGTTTAAGTTGCTAGAAATTTATTACGTATGTAGATATTACTGTAGATTATTTCTAGTTACTAATGATAATATGACTGTAAATCTCAACTATATTTATTGGGATGCAATACTTTTCTACTCACTGATAATATACTTATATTCCTATATTTACACAGGCACACATTCACACACACACCATAGAATCTATAGGCCCAAATATATTAACATGTAAAGATTCCCAAGACACAGTCTAAAGTGAAAAAGCAAGCGTCAGAACAGGATGTACAATATGATCTCATCAAAATTTTAAAGTGAAGAGAAAGGAGATAGTGAAGGAGACAAAAACAGACAGAAAGATAGACAAACCTGGAACTCGAATGATGCATATCAGACTGTTAACAGAAGTTACCTCTGGGAGAAGAATAAAACTATATTCTTTCTATTTTTTAAAATAATGAACATACATTCATATATTCTTGCCTGAGTAACCAGAAGGATAGGTTAACAGAAAAAAAAAAAAAAAAAGAATTAGTTTGGAAAAGATCTTAATTAATTACCTTTGGACATGCTAATTTTGAGGTGCTTATGGGGAATCCAGGTAAATGTCACCAAGACAGATGAGGGAGGAAAAGAAGGCAAAGAGAAGAAGGCTAAGAAGAATGTAAGAAAAGCCTCCATTGAACGGGTAAGAAGAATAAACTGAAAATAGTATACTCAAAACAGTATGTCATGAAAACCTAAAAAGTACAAATCTTTGTAGAGCACTAAATTAAATTAACTGCTTTGTATTTAACTTTACTAAGTAACCAATTTACATGAAATAAAATAAAAAAATATGGACATACCCAAAAGAAATTTATTTGCTTTTTGTTTTCTAACAGCGAGACCAACTTTAAGGCCAATGTGGACAGTGTTTGCATAACCTGTTTGTATCTTTGTTTCTTACTAAAATAAGCATGAGATTAAATCTACAAAAAGGAAAGAAGGACATAAGAGCTTTTACCTAAGTAAGAAAAAATATATGTAAACAATCCATTTGACTGCAACCAATTTACTAAAAGGTTTTTACAATAGGACATTATGCTTTAAAGACTTAATAAATGAAGAAAGGAAACTCACTAAGCTCTGTGATAAGTTTAAGATTCTGCTGCCGGATATTTTCAAACTCTTGCTGTTTTTTTCGCATATGTTCTTCAGTTACTGCACAGCGATCACATAATCCTGCTCTTAACCTAGGAAAAAAAAACAAAATATTGTTTCATCTATTAAAAGATATTTCCTTGAGGGAAATGAGAAGGGTGCGTATATAGAAGGTACGAAAAGGGAGGAAAAAACTATATGAAGTCAAGAAAAAATTAAAAAATAGCAATATAAGCATAGAGATCTTATGGTAAATATCAAAATAATATGTAGAATTGAAAGTGACTGATTCTGAAGAAGAGGGAATTGGTGAGAAGGAGAATAGCAGATCTGCTATTTTTAACCTTGAAAAAACTATTTAAATCTTTAAGCTGTGAGCTTGTACAAGTTGGATTAAATAAACAAAAAATGATCGAAGAAAATAGGGATGCTTAATCAGTAGAAGAGATTAAGAATAACCGCCCCCCCATGCTTTGCTTTTAATTCTAGCTTAAATAAACTCATGGCTAAGAGAAGAGTTAAATCAGTGTTAGAATTCTTGCCTTCCATGTGGGAGACCCCGGTTCAATTCTTGGCCAGTACACCTTGAGCACAACCACCACTTGCGTGCCACTGGAGGCTTGCATGTTGCTATGATGCTGAACAAGTTTCAGCGGAGCTTCCAGATTAAGACATACTAGGAAGAAAGGCTTGGAAATCTACTCCTGAAAATCAGCCAGTGAAATTTCTATGGATCACAATGGTCAGGCCCCATTGTGCATATCTAGTAGGTATGAGTTGGGGGCTGACTTAACAGCAGTAACAAAAAAAGGACTGTGCTTTACTCCTGGTGCCATCTCTTGGTGATAGTCATAGTCTAAACTATAGCTTTGTTAAAATCCATCAGAATTCATTAAAGTTTAAAATTAGAAGAATGCATGGGTTTTTTTAAAAAGCTCCTCAGAAAATTCTGATAGTCATACACATGCAAGGGCTGAGGAATTAAATTAACCTTCAAAGCACTTTTTTAAATTTCAAACTAATGACTATGGGAAACCAAGAGGAAAATTAGAAATAATTTGGGAGAGGGACTGATTCTAAGCAAGGATAAGGAGTGAGAATGAAGATAAGTTCTTTTTGACATTTCCAGAAATAAAAAATTCATATAAAGATATCTCATAAACCGGCTAGAGGAGGTAAACAGTAAGAACTCATCCAAGAAAGTGTCAATCCTAGACATCACAGATCAATACACATATGTTCACTCAAAACAAGGGTAGTAAATTCAAATGACATCAGAGGTTCTGGCAGGCAATGAGTGAAACAAGCAGGAAGCAGGAAATGGTTAAAAATAAGACACAGCTTCAAGTTTTAAAATGAAAACTTGAGCACAAGCATTTATCTTCCTTTTCTACATGCAAAAGAGTCATAATAAAGAAATAAACCTGAAACAGAAAGAAGACTAGAAGAGAGATCATCAACCCTCAAGATACTGCAACAGATTCCTGTTAGACAGAAAGAAGTCTGTTTAAAGAGAAAATGATGAGGAAATGGCAGCCTAGGACACTTAGGACAGGACTGCAGTAGAGTGTGTAAGTCATCTGCCCAGAAGAATTCCAGAGGTAGTCTAGTGTCAGAGCTATCAAATACAATGGAGAGAGCAGGAGTGAAAAGTAGCTGAAAGTCTGTTGACTGCATCAGCTAGCTCCCATGTCTTCTACCTCATTCTGGAGGAAAAAAATAGTGCCATAGGCAGAATGGTTACATGAGGAGCTCAGCAAATCTTCTCAATAAACTGTGATAAAACTGAACAAGACAGTAAAAAAAACAATCATTTAAAGTCTCTGGAAATTTAGCAAGGGCCATACAACAGTTGAGAAGCATTTATTCAAGAAAATCCACTGAATCTTGCTAAGAACAGTGGGAGTCTATAGCATTTTTGCAAATCAGTGTTGGAAAAAGTCTATGCTGGGTTGGCAGGACAGCCTGTAAGGACTGGCAGCCCTTATCCCCTCCCATGGCTCTGGCTCCATGTTGCAGAGGGTGTGTCCAGGATGGGTGTGGCAAGCTGTGAGAACTGAGGCTCAATGGACCCACCAGAAAGGGCGGAATATTTGGAGCAGAGTGTGGAAAAATCCATGCCCAGAAGTGTTGTCAAAACCACCAGTGATCATGGTGAAGAGCAATCAGGGAAGGTTAAGTGCTTTCAATCAAAGAAGTCTAAGTATCTCTGTGATACTAGTACAGATAAACAAAATTGCAAACTAGCCAGAAATTTTTAAGAGAGATCCAGGGAAGGAGAGACCCAAAAAGGAACCTACTGAGATCACATTCATCTCTGCTAGTCTAGAAGGCTGTATGCATGTGCAAGGCTGTATCCACTCAGGAGTAACCAGGGAGTACTTGCAAACTACTACTCCCTTGCTGAATGTGTGGCAGGCTTGTAAACTCCTTAAACTTTGAAAAAAGTCCCCAAGCTACATACAGATCCAACAGTAGGAAAGGGTGATCTGTACATAGGAAAAAGCAGCAGACTACAGAAACTGTGTTTGAGGGGACCCAGATGTTGGACTTAATAGAAAAATACTTCAAATCAGCTATTACAAATACAATATGTTCAAAGAACTAAAGGAAACCATGTTTAAAAGACTCATAAGGAGATAGAAATTGTAAGAAACAACCAAATGGAAATTCTGAAGTTGAAAAGTATAATAACTGAAATGAAAAATTCACTAGAGAGGCTCAACAGTAGATGTGAGCTGCCAAAAGAAAAAAAAAATCAGTGAACTTGAAGATATACCAATAGAAAGGATAAAGGATGAAGAAAAACAAACAAGAGACTTACAGATCTGTGGGAAACCATTAAGCATACCAACATACATGAAATGGAAATAGCAGGAGAGCAGAGAGAGAAAGGAACAGAAAAAAAATTTGAAGAAATAATAGCTGATATTTTCCCAAATTTGATTAAAAGTGTTAATGTACACATCCATGAAGCTCAACAAACTCCAAATAGGATAAACACAAACAGCTTCACACCTAGACAGATCACAGTCAATCTGCTGAAAGCCAAAAACAAAACCTTGAAAGTAACAAGAGAAAAACAACTCATACAAGGGAATCCCAATAGGATTAACAGCTGACTTCTCATCAGAAACAATCGAGGCCAGATGGCAGTAGGATGACAAAGTTAAAATGCTTGGGGTGAGGGAGAAAAAGCTTTTGAGCATCCCTAGCAAAATCTGAGAAGAGATGCAGCCATGAAACAAAAAACTACGCACGTGCTCATATGTTTATATAAAGCAATGATCAACAAACAATAAAAACTTCTTGGATATTAAATATGTTAATATAAAAATAACTTCAACAGTAGGGTTGAATAAAATAGAAGAAATTTCCCAGAACATAGAACAAAAACCAAGTAACAGTAAATAAAAGATGACAGAGGATCAGTTCATAATGTCCAATATCTGACTAAGAAGAACTCCAGAACATAAAAATTGGAAAGGAAATAATACAAAAAAATTTGCCGGAGCTTAAGAGACACTGATGTTCAAGTTAATGAGCTGAGTATCCAGCACAGTGAAGGAAACGCACACCCACACAGATAAATCATAAAATTTCAGAACATCAAGGATAAAAAGATCTTAAATTCCAGAAAGAAAAAAAAAAATCTGTTACCTACAAAGGAATGAAAATTAGAATGAGATTAGACTTCTTATCAGCACTGAATGCTAACAGTCAATGGAGCAACACTTTCAAAGTTTTGAGAGAAAATTATTTTGAACCTAGAATTTTGTATCTAGTCAAAATAGTAACTAAGTGCAATAAAATAAAAATATTTTCAGACATGCAAGGATTCTCTGAAAATTTATTTCCTGTGCATTCTTTTTCCAGAAGTGTGTTATAATGGAATAAGCAGGAAAAAATAAAAAGAAGAGGCTCACATTTTATCGGCCATGTTCAATAGTGTATCTCCAAGGTCTAAGCAGCACGTGGTACAAAGTAGGTGGCTCTATAAATATTTGTTGGCTGTCTTAACATAAGCTAAAAGAAATAATGGAATCAATGCAAGTATCTAATGAAAAGAAATCCCAGAATGATAGCTGTAGAGTAGACTAAAAAGTAAATGGTCCAGGAGAAAGCCCATAATGGCAGCTTAGTCAGACACACCATGCTGTCCCCTTACAGCAAAAACCCAAGAAACTAAGTGAAACAGATACAGATGACAATCCTGCAACCCTGAGCATCAAAAGGAAGGACGAAGAATTAGATCAAACACCAACTGGAAGGAAAAACTGAATGAAAACAGCAAACAAGGAGTTACGGATTGGAGATGCCCTGACAGCTGGCCCAGCACCGCATGACCATCTTGAGACAAAGCGAGCAGCGACCCCAGGTGACAAGCACAGGAAGGCAACTTCATGGAATTCCCAATAGGAGACAGAGAAACTGTAGAGACAAACCTGGATTGAAGAAAGATGAACACGACATGAACTGGATCTAAGACGGCCAAGTAAAGGAAGGCAAGTGGAGCTCCAAGGATTCTGGCAACCACAGAACAGGGAGGGAGTCAGGAACCAAAGACAGGACCACACACCAGCAGTGGTCCCTGACCATTAGGGTGGGTGGTGCACACAGAGTAGTAGATTCACAGGTTGTCAGCAGGAGGCCCCCCACTGGACCAGGTTCCAGGCAGCGCCCCCTGCTGCCCCCAGCATCTGGTTGGGTCCAGGTCCTGATGGTTGGCTACAGCCTATGGTGAGTACCTCAACACCTGCACCTGGTAACTAGAGGAGCATGTTGCCCCAACCCCCGCCCTCCCAATGATCAGCAGCTTGAGCCCCCCCAACTCCTTCCACCCTGTCCACCCAGGAACCACAGTATGACTATCACCCTAAGATACTCTTTTGACTTGGAACTAAAGCTACTCCCAGAGGTCACCTTTCAGCCAAATAATAGATTGGCCTATAAAATAAACAATAACACCCACGAGGAATGTGTTCTTTTAAACAATCAAAGTATACAAGATCAAATGGTCATCATTTACACAAAAGCAAAGATGAGAAGGCAAGGAGGGATTGGGAAACTGGATGGAACGGAAATGAGGCAG